CTGGCAGTGATGTTATTTCTCTTTTTATTAAAGAAGTAGCCAAAAATGCACAAGAGGAAACTGTGAGTGACACTTGTTGCAGACTGTCTACACCATGTTGTCACATTTTAACTTTTAAACTACAAAAGAAAACATCTTTACAAGTCTTCCAATTTGACACTCTCTCTATAACAGGTACAATCGTCAAATATCTACTTTACACTGATGTAAAGCCCCAACAAACCTACTGGTGACTGATAAAACTATCGGAGCTGTTGCAAGTGTTTTGTTGTTGTTGTTTTTTTTTTATTAGGCTATAACATGATAGTGAATCTGCTGCTCTGATTTGGACCAGTCTGGACACTTCCTGCCTCTCCCTCAGAAGGTTTCACTTGATTTTCCAGCAGTAAAATTTTGTCAAATGCAGACTTATAAAAAAATAAAAACAGATATTGTGGTCAGCTTTTCCTAAAACAGAAATCTTCTCCAGAGATATCCGAGTTTCAGACTGAGCTCAGTGAGTTGGCAGCCAGTGGATCGCTCTAATCTGCTCTAATCCCAAGGTCGCGGTATGATTGCAAAAGGCATTTGGAAACAGTTCACAAAGTGGCTACATTCCAGCGCTGGTGAATTGACAGGAAAAACAGAATATTTGCGAAATCCAATTAAACCATACTGTGAGAGTACATGTGCTGCAGCTCCTCTGAGCCCAGAGGGCAGGGATATCCAGGCTGTTATGGTGAAGGTGAATCATTAGTTGTTCGCCTGATAGGTGGGGAGTGTCAGCCCAGAGGGGATACTGCTGAGCTGTTCACTTACTAAGTCAGCTGTATGTCCTGACCTGCCTTTGCTCCTCAGGAGACAAACCTAACCAACTCAAGCTGGAAGCGCTGAAAATGCAAAGCAGCGAAAAGAAATCAGTGGTGGTGAAGCTGAGCAGACTGAGGATGACACTGTGTGCCGGTTTAATTACAGGGGTGCGCCTCAGGATTTATGTCGCCACCAGAATGTATTTCTAACCCGAGAGGGAACAAGTGAAAGCTAAATGAGTCGCTTGGCGTCAACAGGAGGTTATTTTCAGTGCATAAATATCCCATATGTTTCGTGTGTGGATGAGGCAGCTTCGAACCTTTAGCGTTTCAAACTTGAAGTCTTGGTTTTTAAATCTGATCTTATGCCTGTGAGCGCAGACTGTTTTCTCTCCCCATGGAACCAATTTCTTCTTTTTTAAGCTAATGACAAGTTCTTTTAGGAGGATGAATTTACTACCTGGAAAGTAGTTATCCAGCACATAAACAAGTCTACAAAAACCACAGATTATTCAATCAAGCCCTTATAAAACCCCAAACCCCAGCTTTAACCACACACCCTCTCCGCCCCAATCTGATTAGCAGGCATAACTGTGGCCCGGGTGGTGTTACTCAAGCTGCTTGCATGATACAACAGCATTAAAACGTGTGCTGCAAGTGAAATGTATGTGGTTAAGAGAACGTTTAACAGTGGTGTTGGGTACCTGTAGATGGCTGGAGCAGCGTCCGGGGGGTTCGGGGGGGATCTTGATCTCGTCAGGTGACATGTTTCTCACCTTTTCTGAAAACAGAGCTGGAAGGAAAGAAAAATAAACATAAGCCTAATGTGCTTTCACCTCTGTGGCTTTTTTCCTGCGTGTCTTTACACGCAGGATTAGCTACGTTAGACGGCTAAAATGTAGAAGTGCATCTACCAAATGAGAAATTGGAGAGAAGGTGGTGGAATACGGACATGAATTGGAGAAGAAA